AGACCTACGAGCTCTTCGCCGAAGATGACAATCAAGATTCTGTCTACGCTGTTGACGCTGACGTAATCTCTTTGTTAGACTCTGCGGAGGAGTTCATCCCCGACTAGAAAGTGGTGGTCATCAAGCCTGACAGGGATTGTGGCCTGGACCCGGATGCCCACGTGACCCGGACCGTAATGCATTCACTCTTCGCCACCGTCTCTTCATTCAAAGCCTCGTATTTGCAGTAGATGAAGCCATTTTGGAGAAGAGGGTTACTGCTACTGGTCGTCGGATCCATCCTCCAAGCTTGATAAGGTGCTCAATCATGAATTTTAACTGCAAATTGAAAATGTGCAATGAAATGCAAAAAAATGGTGTTTGTCTAATTGTCTTCAGTCTCAATTTGTCTGACTTTTTTCTTTGCCAGTTTTGGGCTAGCTTAATGAGAAATATCTGTCTATTTGTTTCTGCGTCTGAACTCTTTGAATTTATATGTATAATTCGATTGAGCTTGTTTGCAAACAGGCGTGTGTAATTTTATTTATTTTCATTTTTAATCGTTTTTGAAGATGTTCTTGTCCTTTGTGCTTTGCGGTATGGAAAATGAATGAGATGATCATTAAATTTTTTGTGGTATCGAGTCATTCAAAATTTTCAGTTCATTGTCAGTTAATTTTGATGCATAGTTTTCTTGATAGTTTTCCTTCAAAATAATGATTATTTGATTTAGAAACGTCATCATGTATAGTTGCCATTGCCGAGATAACTATTTTACTTAAGTTAAGAACTATTATTATGAGTTCTCTAACTCTGTGACTGGTCAAAGTCAATTGTTGACGTTGACCGGTTAACGTCCGCCCAGGCTGGGTTCGTCTGTTGGGTCCGTCCCTATGTACACCCAATTTGACTGGTTTCATCTGGTTGCAAAAAAATAGATTTCATTTGATAGTTTAATTACACTTGTCTTTGACTAAAGTGACAAAAAAAAAAAAAGTAATTGTCACAAGTTTTTTAGGAACAAGTAACTTGTTGGGGTAGGTGAACTCTTCAAAGTTTTTGCTTCTCTCAAGATATTTTTATTTGTTGTAATAATTATAATAGCTATTCTTTGTAGTGATGGATGGCATGAAAATGCTCATTTGATTCATTGCAGGTATTTGAGAAAATGGCTCGGGCATGGTGTGCCTCAAAAGGGAATATCCCATACTTTGAGACATCTGCTAAGGAAGGCACCAATGTTGAATAAGCATTTCATAGTTTATTAGGGTTTTCCTTTGGGTGTTGGTAGGGTTTGAATTAATGATTTTCAAGGTTTTTGATCTGAAAATTTGAATGTAAAGAATGCTTGAATTTAATTTCTTGTGATTCTATCTGAGTGTCTCATTTTTTTATTCTCAAATTATTTTCTTCAGCAAATCAATTCTCTGAGTCGCTCTCTTGCCCACCAGTCATGAACGTGCACAAGAGCTCAGATAATCCGATTCTCATGGATTTCAGGTCACATATTTTCCTTAATCTCTATTCCCTAAATCTTTTCTTGTAGTTTCTCTAATAATTTGTTCATATTTCATCATTTCTTTTTGCTCTGTTCTATTTTCATTTTGTGTACACCAATTGTGGGGGATTGATAAGCCATTCTTGTTTCAAGACAGCAATTACCATGAGGCTTTCTGATAAGCCATTTTTTTTGGTTTATTTTATCACATGGAAATGGCTTGTTGATTTCTCAATACTTCATTTTTTTTCCTGTAGAGATTATGTAATGTATTACAAATTACTTTGTTTAAACATAATTTATCACAACTAGAATACTTTTAAAGAGTTAATTTGTATTTTTCAGATGCATGTAGATCCTTTTGAGGAGATTGAGATTGTTGAGAAAAGTGCAAAGGAGCATAGAAGTGCTACTGAAGAGGAAGTAAGCACACATATTTATCATCTCGATGTTATAGTTCATAATTCTTTAG